GGGGGGTAGTGCCAGCCTCTAGGGGACATTACCGGCACGCCAAGGTCACCGCCGGTTCCTGTTCTGGCCCTTCTGTCTCACACTCGGTGAAGACCTTCCGGTTCCCAGAGTTATTTACCTGTGAGAAGGAGAGAGAGGTGGCCGGGCCTCGGACCTCATTCGGACCGGGTGAGTACCGCATTCAAACAAGCGGCTTTTAGTGTCAGCCATGTCCTGTCTCACTATGGAGAGGACTGTCAAACAGCCCCGGAGCGAGAGCAGGGGCAACGGACGGGGAGCAGGAGAATAGGGAGCTGGACAGGGTAGATAAATGGATTCTTTTTGATGATCTGGGTTGGGGGGAGACTGTTTACATCCTGCACATTCTTATGATGACTTGCTCTTTGCGGCATGTTTGACAGCTGTGCCGGTAATTGATGAGCATTGTCACCCACTCCGGGTCAGGTGGGGCGGAGCCAAGGTGTCTGCGGTCGTGCTAATTGGGTGAGGGAAGCGACCGTCTTTCGGAGGGGAACCACCCACCCCCCCATCTCCCTTGGATTCCAAGGATAAGGATCAGCGCCTGCTCTGTCTCCACACCGAAACCCCCCTCCCGAAAGCAGCCATCAATCCTGGCTAAGTAAATGCTGGCGAGGGAGGTTGAGGCTTGCAGGATATATGTTGAGAATACCCTCGGTGCTCCTTTCTAAGAGGATAAAAAGGCATGGCGGGGGGGGGCAAGGGGGCTTACGATGTTTTGGTTTTACGGAGAAAGGTTGGGATTCTTTCGCTCCTTTTTGTGTGTGTGGGGGGGGGGGGGCGGATCCTATGGGTTCAGACTGATGAGGACGGCAGCCTAAACTGTCATCCCCTTTTTTGTCGGGTGGGGTACGAGTCTCTCTGCGACCCGACAACGTCTCCTGCTGTTCCCTCTCCACCCCTGTCCATGCCGCGCTCCCCATGTGAACTTCTGGACCGTTCTCTGTTGTATTCAGCGCTGTCATGGTGGGTTTCCTCCTGCGCCAGCAGCCTTTACGCTGGATACCTTTAGCACAACACGCTTCACTTCCTGACAATGACTCACCAAAGACGGGGTCGTCTCCTCAGTTACCATTCTCTCCTTTTTCGAATACGGGATTGTCCAAAATCCGACGCCAGGGGACTGGATTATAATCTCTTTTACTAACTGAGGAGAGGAAGAGTTTCCCCTTCTGGGGAACAGGGTACAGGTTAGTATTTGAAGGAATTCTCTGGCTCCAGGGTGCAGGAGCATGGCCGCTGTGGAGACCCGTGCAGTGACCTGCTTCAGTTCCTTCAGCATACACCTCGGAAAACACTTTTCCAGCTGCATCGGCGCTTTACGAGCCAAGGACGGTGTGTCGGGCTGTCTGCCAGCACGTACTGTAGTGTCTGGACCCGCTTGCTCGCCTGGTGATTTCTGTCCCTTGTGGTGCGCCGTAGCACACGAGCAGCTACAGCAACAGACAGTTGTGTGCACCACAGAATTTTTTTGAAGGGGGTGGGGCATGATTTATACAGATGGGTCAACCTAGTTATTATCCAATGATATTTTTTGAATTGGTGGTGAGTGACAGGCGAGGTGGCACTCTGGCGGCCAATCAGCTTTCAGAACCCCAATCCCCTGGCTGTGTGGAGAACACCGTGTGGCCAACAGTTTCACTTAGAATGAAGGGAAATAAGCATAAAAAGGAGAATGGAGAGCCTGCCTTTCCTGTGGCCTAACAGTGAGACGTGGGAGACGTGAGATTGATTTGGACACTAGCCGGCCAACACCTCACATAACTGGCCATAGAGCTAGTGGGGGATTTATGGCCTCCCCCCCCCCCCCCCCAAAGCACCTTGCCTCGCCCGCTGGCAGCCTCTCTTCTAGATATAGAAGTTCTCTGTTGTCCCGGATTTACAGCCATCTTTTCATACATAGGTGTATGACTCTTTTTTTATTCCCACCAATATACAGCGCTGAGTGAATCCTGAATGGCGCTGCTAATCTGAATATGAGGAAACGAGAACAGTGAGAAGAACATGGAAGAAATGTACAGGAGCAGAGACATAATTCCAGGGCTTAATTACAAACCCCTAAAATGGTCGGAAGGTTTAAAGTGCGATACACTCTGCCGATGTGTCTGACGGAGACCGGGGAAGCATGCAGAAGAGCAGATGTTTAAAAAATCCTTTCTGAGCTCTAGGCCAATTCAGGCCCAATATGCCCATGTGACCATCGACATGTGACTTTCCGCCGCTCATATGTCCTTGAAGCTACGTATCTGTGACATGGACGGAGTGGAATGTGAAGAAAAACAAAACCAAGCAAACAGGGAACCCTGAACAAATAACTGCAGTAAAACCCAGCAAATGCTGGGAGGCTGTGACCCATAACATATTCCCAGTGATAGCAGTTCCAGTGTCAATCATACACGTCCTGAGGCAGCTATCTGTGACCTGTCCCTTTCAGAAAACAAGCACGCAGGGAAAGGTCACTTAATGGCTCTTAGGTACAGTAGATAGCGCTGACATCTAACATTTATGTAAATTTTAGGGGACAACCCATTTGCATGTGCTGGGTTTCACATCAATATGCTTGCTGTCCGTGGGCCTACTGTACCTGGCAGCCTGGTCATGTGACCTAACAGCACAGATTTCACGACCATGTGACTTCTCAGCCTCCTGCCTCAGTTTGGGAACGAGAAAGACATTTACAAAACGGACGAGTTTTCTGCACACCTACAGCCTAAAGCCTTCTGCCGGACACCGGATCCGCCCCAAGGGCATATTAAATACCCCCCAGTGGGTCTCTTTGCCGTGACTTTGCTACATCAGTTATTGCAGGAATTATTATCAGCCCACAGCCTTCTGGGAATTCCTCATCGTCCCAATTCCCGGTGAAACGCGGGAGCAGTCAAGGCACTGGCACTTCACGTTATGTGCGATGCCGGGCGATCAGCCGCAGTCTCCGGAGCTTTCCAAGGCGCATTGCTCTCGCTTTATTCTAAAAGCGAGGGGGTGAAAATAGTGGGTGAAATTCCTGATTTTCGTCCAGGCAGCTGTGAGTCATTTTTCACCGTAATCCATCGCATCATTAATGTCAAACTCAATTCCAGAGGTGCGGTGCGGAATACGCTCTCTCGCGCCGTGGCGGGAATTAAAGCAGACATAACATGCCACTAATGAAGTCTACATTTCTCACGCTGCCGTCACTGAACAATCTGGGCGATACCATTAATCGGAGTTACCAAAATATTAGGGCTGGGGAGGCACAGGCCATGCTTAACTGTTACCGGGGGCTGCGTGACAGAGGCGGGCCGGTGGGCCCGACTGGCCGGCACCATCTCATCGTGGGTGGAACTCAGGGGTCTATCTGGACCTTTTAGAAGTTGGCTGGCTGGCTTTTTCTCTGTGGCTTTCGGCCTCCATAACCTGGTTATCATGCCTCTGTGGTATAGCTAAGCTAGTGAGTGAAGATAATGCCCAGGCAGCCTTGAGGCGGAGAGGAAGAGGGAAAGAGCATCGCTCACTGCATAATGAGCGGAGGGCTTCCGGGTCTGGTCACGGTGGGCAGATGGCCAGAGATAGTGGGGGGTGGCTCAGTTTCCATAACTGGAGCTCAGATTGCGTATAGGTAGTGATCGCACGTCAAGCCTCCTCACCCTTCTCATCCTCTCCCTCGCTGCAGTTTGACCAGGAAGGTGTTGGTTGGTTTTGATTGGTTGTCGGTTCGTGATTGGCAGCAGGAATAGCCACTCCACACCAATCGGCTCACTGGGGAATTCCTGGGCCTGGGGGATGGTGATGGATGGGCTGGATGGCAGCGTCTGGCAGGTGGAAAGCCACGGGGCCCGTCGGGCCTTCGGCGAGGCGTACTAAATCTCACTTATGATAACGAGCGCTGACCACGGGCAGCTAATAACACGCCATGGTTATTTATTTGCTTGTGAGTCATTGATCACAGTGGAGAGAATTTTATTTTTTTGGCGACATAGGAGGACCCCCCAGGCGACGCCATTTGCCAGCGCTGCCAGGCGCTTCGCGAGCTTTGCAGTGGCGGCAGGAGGTCCGATTTGGCGTGGTGTGGGCCACGGTAATGTGTGCCCTGGTCTCGCAGTGATGGACACAGGCCCCTGTGTGGCCGGATCTCCCCACTGGATTGGTGGAGGCGTGATGAATGGTCGCCTCTGCTGGCCAATAACGTCTGTGAGAAAGGTCCGCCCTGCTGATGTGGACCTACTTTGTCCCCCCCACCCCCGACTGTTCATTTGGTCTGGCCCAGATGTCAGCCAGGCGGCCGGGTCGGGCTGCACGGTACCGGCCGTTCAGTCCTGCTGCGAGGCAGCTGTGCTGCCATCTGGACTCAATGAAGGAGCTGGCCAGTGTTGAAGGGGCAGATTTACGAGCGATAGACATGTCCTTCATCCCTTCTTCCTTCATCTCTTCTTCCTTCATCTTCATCTCCCCTTACTTCTGCAGATAAATTCCACACAGCTCGCCCGCTTTACGTTTCCATCACGGTACAACCGCTTTGGGGCGGTAGGCCATATGACCGACGAGCGAGAGTGAGCCACTTTGATCACGCACCATTAGCGAAGGAAGGGGTGTTGAAAGATGAGCACCCATCGCGGGGGGGGGGTGCTTGGTGTTGAAGTGTGCGGGGGCTGTCTGTTCCGGCACGTTCCAGCACGGTCATCCACCCAGTGGGGTGCAGAGGTCAAAGGGACGGCCTCTTTGCGGCGACTCCTGCGCCGCCTACCGCCCAGCAGAGTCAGGGAGCAGCCGCCAAGCTCACAGTCACAGCATCACAGCAGCGATGCTCTTCTAACCCGGCAGAGGTCCGACCTCCCCCTGCTCTCCTATCCTGACCTCCTGCTTTACTCCAGCTCTGCCCCATCGCTCCTTGCCCCTGCAGCTCCTGGCCTGGCCTCTCGCCGCCGCCCCCACAAGACGCCGACTCTGCTCATTGCTCTGCTAAGGTCCACTGGCTTAACCCTGGCTCTCCTCTCCCCACCTAGCCAACGTCCTGAACAGGAGCCCTGGGAAGTCCCCGGCGGAGGGCGCGAAGGGCGACGGCAGCAGCACCGCCCCGGCTCCGCCCCCACGCCTCCTCTGGTGCTATTGCTACCATCATTGCCCAGAAGACACAGCCAACAACACCTGCAGGTAGGTGCGCCAGGTCCGGTATACTGACGAGGCCAGTCCTCTCATTCGCTGCTCACTGCCGGGTAATCTCGGGGTATTTCCGTAAAGACAAAGGCCCGGGCGACACTCCACACTGACGTTCGCCAGCGAGCGGCACACGGGACGAGTGATCACTGACATCTGTTATGACTGCTTAATTCGCCAATTAGCATGTAACACATACGCTGTCGCACAAAATTAGCATATTTGCAGCTGATAAATAAAAGTCCTTCATATGGGTTCCTTGCCAGGGCTGGAAATGAGTGAAAATCGAGCGGAACACGAGAAAATGATTACAATAATGAGAAAAAGACGTATTTTGTTATACTGTTGTTTACATGTAGTGCCACTCACAAACTCTGGAACTGATTTCAACTGGCCGCGTTTGCCGGGGGAATCAGCTGCATTATGGCGTGTTCAGCGATGCAGCTAAACTCGACTTTTGGTTGACAGGAGTTGTTAGCACCATATTGTTTCACAGAGCAGCATCTCTCACTGTAAACACGGCGGAGACACTAAGGAGTAGAATGATGATCAACACGTTAGTTGTATTCACTGCTGTCATAATGTTGAGAATGTAGCTGGTGATTACCATGCAGGTGTCGGGTGACGATGGGTATGATGATGCTGATGATGGTCTTACGTTACTGTGTAGGACGGATGGATACTGCTTCACCATGGTGGAGGAAGAAGAGGGTGGAATTCCAGTCATCACGTCTGGGTGCCTTGGACTAGTGGGATCAGAGTTCCAGTGCAGGGTGAGTAAAGCTTGGACTGGTTGGATCACAGCTCCAGTGCAGGGTGAATACTGGTTAGATTGATGGGGTCAGACTTGACAGCCTGTCCTGAACTTGGTGTCCTGGTCTGTGAGTTGAGTTTGATGGTGGCTGTCTGATCACTACGACCTCTGCAGGACACGGGGAATTCCCGACTGAGGCGAAGTCTAGAGTGCTGTACCGACCAGGACTTCTGCAACCGTGATCTGCACCCCACCCTGCCACCACAGAAGCCTCCCAGTAAGACCCAGCTCCCTCCGTCACTTTAGTTGTGCATGAGTGTGTGGAAGCTTGAGCATCTGGCCAGGAGGGGGAGGGGGTTCTGGGAAAAGTCACTATGGTTCACAGGTCGCATTCTCGATAGCGTGACAGTAAGACAAGCGTCCCCAGAGGAAGCAGCTGCCCTGTGGACGTCCTGCTGTGTCATCAGCATGAAACTCCATCGCGGGGCTCCAGGAAGGGACGTGATCGATCAAGGCTCAGGTTCCCCAGGCCCCTGAAGGCTTGTGGGAAGCTGTGAGGGCTTGGCCAACACCAGGCCAAAGCCTTTGGCTGATATAAGCTCTGGTGTTTCATAGGTTGTGCACATGGTGTGAGTGCAGCATTTTTTTCATAGTCTATGATGCAATGCTGCGTGTGAGAGATTTTTATAGACCATGATGCTGTGTTGGTTTTGAGAAGTGTTGAGAATGTAATACTATGTGGTGTACTCTCTGTAGAGTGTCACACTGTGTGATGTACTTCTTTTTCGACTGAAACTGTGTATGTCATGTACACTGACACTGCATGTGATGTACTTCCTGTTAATTCTGACACTGTGACTGATGCACTTCCTATTGACTAACACCATGTCTGATGTACTTCCTGTTGATTCTGACACTGTGTGTGAAGTACTTCTTGTTGACTCTGATGTACTTCCTATAGATTATACCGATGGGGAGGTTATTCATCACTTGGCTTTGCTCGTCTCCATCACTGTGTGCAGCATCATTCTCGTCATCATCATAGTTTTCTGCTACTTCAGGTGAGCACCTCACACACACACACATGCGCACACACACACTTGCTCGTACGCACGCACGCATGCATGCACGCACACACACACACACACACACACACACACACAGACCTGTACTTATATATTTGTGGGGACCGTCCATTAATTTCTGTGGGCAAAACCCAAATCCCAACAATGACAACCTTAACCCCTACCCAGCCATAACCTTAATTATAAGTAACCAAACAAAATACAAGACTTTTGGCATTTTTAGTTTTTTGATTGCAGTCACAGATTTTTATAAAATTGAATTTCCCCTTGTGGGGACCGAAAAAATTATACCAGCAAAGTCAGAATAACAGGTTTTTATCACATTGTGGGGACATTTGGTCCCCACCATGTAATGTATACCTGGACCAAACACACACACAAACACACATGCACGCACACACACACACTACATATCATTGTGGGAACATCTCATTCTACCTCAAAAACAAAGATTTTTTACAAGCTCAGTAAGTTAGTTAGTAACTAAAAAAGAGGTTTTACTATCATCTTGTCCTATTTTGCTACCTGTTATTGAAATGAAATGATCAATCCTTTGTTAATTGCTTGTAACAATCAGAAAAGATGAACACTTGCTGATATTGTAGTTTCTTGGCCAGGTACAAGCGCCAGGAGTCACGGCCTCGCTACAGCATTGGTCTCGAACAGGACGAGACCTATATCCCCTCTGGAGAATCACTGAAGGACCTGATCGAGCAGTCACAGAGCTCTGGCAGTGGCTCAGGCCTCCCCCTGCTGGTAAGATCTATGCACTGCAGCTACCAGTTACATCCAGCGGTTAAATAACAACAAAAAAGCAGATACATGACACAGTGACAGAATGCGATAAGTTGGTTGAATCTGGCCTGTCCTGCAGGTGCAGCGAACCATCGCCAAGCAGATCCAGATGGTGAAGCAGATCGGTAAAGGGCGGTACGGCGAGGTGTGGATGGGCCGCTGGCGGGGGGAAAGGGTGGCCGTCAAAGTGTTCTTCACAACGGAAGAGGCCAGCTGGTTCCGGGAGACGGAGATCTACCAGACCGTGCTGATGAGACACGAGAACATCCTGGGTAGGGAGGCCTCGGCTGGGCTTGTATAGACATGAAACCCTGTAGACCTGGAGAGCTCTTCACAAATGCTCACTGATGCTGCTGATAGTGCTTCTCTGAGTGATTTCTTCACCATCACTGTGTGTGATTTATTTACTGTCACTGCATCTGATTTCTAAACTGTCACTGTATGTTTTCTCCACTGTCACTGCGTCTGATTTCTTCAGTCATTGTATCAGATTTTTTCCGTCAGTGTCTGATTTCTTCTCTGTCACTGTATCTGATTTTTTTAGTCAGTGTCTGATTTCTTCACTGTCACTGCGTGTTTTCTCCACTGTCACTGCGTCTGATTTCTTCAGTCATTGTATCAGATTTTTTCTCTCAGTGTGTGATTTCTTCACTGTCACTGTATCTGATTTTTTCAGTCAGTGTCTCTGATTTCTTCACTGTCACTGTGTGATTCCTTAACTGTCACAATATTTTATTCCTTGAAACTCCTTGTGTTCATTTCTTGAAATGGCCAAACCGCAATCTTGAGCGTTTAATCGATTCCTTTTGCCTGATTGATTTATGATGTTTCTGCATCTACCTGATCGATCTGTCATGGTGTGTAATTAATGAATCTGTCTTCGGAGCTGCTGCCCTGTATCCAGTGTCAGGGTCTGACTGGCCTGCTCTGTCTCCCAGGCTTCATTGCGGCGGACATCAAGGGCACTGGCTCCTGGACGCAGCTGTACCTAATCACCGATTACCACGAGAGCGGCTCCCTCTACGACTACCTCAAATCCACCACGCTGGACAGCCGGGCCATGCTGCGACTGGCATACTCCTCCATATCGGGCCTCTGCCATCTGCACACTGAGATCTTCGGCACGCAGGGCAAGCCGGCCATCGCCCACCGCGACCTCAAGAGCAAGAACATCCTGGTGAAGAGGAACGGCACGTGCTGCATCGCTGACCTGGGACTGGCTGTCAAGTTCATCAGGTCAGGGGGGGTGGGGAGGAGGGGAGAGAGCAGCGGTGGGTACGGGGATGGGGGGGATCAGAGAGTGGGAGAGAAGAGGAGGCAAAGGAGGAGGGGAAGACAGGTAGGGGGTGAGTAGGAAGCATGTGTCCGTGAGATAATTCAGTGGACAGTACAGAAGTGAGGTTGTGAGTGAACAGTCTGAATATGAACCTGCAAATGTGCTCACATGCCAGTAGATGGCGTAGCAGTTCAGCCATCTCTGTAAAAATGTTTAACATATCTGTGTCTGTGAAGCATTCAGCTGTACAAAAAACTGCAAAAATGCCCATCAGTCCATCTGATAATATACAGTACGTGTGAGTTTGCCTCTCCAGTCCATGACAAGCACGCCAGCTAACTCCCCACCCTCCATGCAGTGATACCAACGAGGTGGACATCCCGCCCAACACGCGGGTCGGCACCAAGCGTTACATGCCCCCGGAGGTCCTGGACGAGAGCCTGAACCGGAAGCACTTCCAGTCCTACATCATGGCTGACATGTACAGCTTCGGGCTGATCCTGTGGGAGATCGCGCGGAGATGCGTGTCGGGAGGTGAGGCGGGCGGGAGGGTAACGTGGGGGGGCTAGTCAGCGAGGGCCGGCCACTGCTCGCTACTCACTGCTCGGCCTGTGTGTCCTGCTTAACCATGGTCACGCTTCCTCTGCAGGCATCATGGAGGAGTATCAGCTGCCTTACTATGACATGGTGCCCACGGACCCATCCTATGAGGACATGCGGGAGGTGGTCTGCATCAAAAGGTCCAGACCATCTTTTCCGAACCGCTGGAGCAGTGATGAGGTATGTATACACATGCGTGCGCGCGCACACACACACACACACACACACACACACAATTATATTCGTAATTATATCTCGTGGGGACCGTCCATTCATTTCTATGGAGAAAACTCTAATCCCAACATGACGACCTTAACCCCTACCCAGCCATAACCTTAACCATAAGTAACCAAACTAAATATGAGACTTTTGGAATTTTTACTTTTTTGATTGCATTCACAGATCTTAAAAAATTGTCCCCACAATGTCAAAGAAAAGCAGGTTTTTATTACATTCTGGGGACTTTCGGCCCCCACAATGCTAATAATAATAATAATAATAATAGATTTTATTTATATAGTGCTTTTAGAAGAACTCAAAGATGCTTACAGAGAAAGTACACAAAAAACAGACAACACATTGTGCATATGGAAGGTTAAATGCCTTAGCAAAAAGAAAGGTTTTTACTGTAGCTTGGTTTTAAAATCTGAAACAGAGGTCGATAAACATACATATCCCTGTAACATACATTACATTACATAACATACATTACATTATTAAGCAGAGAATTTTATCCAATGTGACATAGATTTTAGAGAAAAGGGTCAGACAATCCTTGGAACAACTGGGGGTTAAGGACCTTGCTCAGGGCCTAATGGTAACATCACTCTGCTGTCCCTGGGAATTGAACCAGTAACCTTCTGAACACAGACACAGAGTCCTAACCGTCTGAAGGCACACGCCACTTATTGTGGGAATGTCCCCACACTGCCTGCTCTGAGGCGGCACTTTTTCGCAGAACGGCTCCCCGTAATTCAGTGTGCAGTAAATCAAGAAGTAAATCAAGAAAAAACATGAAATGGCACTTTCAGTTTAAAACACATTGCTGAATGACTTTTATTTAATGACTAAATGACATAATACCCCATGGGGGCATCTGTACAGGGGGGGCACCTTTAGGGGGGACATGTATGCATACACGCATGTGGAGTGATAAAGCCCTCCCTCTCCCTGGCGCCCCCTAGTGCCTCAGGCAGATGGGGAAGCTGATGACGGAATGCTGGGCACACAGCCCCGCCTCCCGTCTGACGGCACTGCGCGTCAAGAAGACGCTGGCCCGCATGTCCGAGTCGCAGGACATCAAGCTGTGAGTGGGCAGAGCCACAGCGGGCGCCAGCGAGCAGCCAGAGACACAAGTACCGCCTCTCGAACCCCTGATCAGCAGGCAGGGGAGGAGCCGGATGGGGCCACATCCCACGGTGCTGGCCGGGCTGGCTCGGCGAGGGGGGAGGACACTCCCGCGGACTGGATCATCATCATTTGGTTCCAGTTACGGTGGCCCATTCCTGCAGTGCCCAGAAGACACCTTCTGTTTGCTTCAGATCTACAGGGACAGGTCTGCAAACAACCCCCCCCTCCCTCCCCTCGCCCCAGTTTTGCTTTCTGTGAAAGCTTCACTCACTCAAGCAGGTGTTGGGGCGCCCCCTGCTGTTAAAGGTGAGTGTTTCCCCTCCAGGCGCCAATCATGAGGCAACGAGAAGCACCGGCTCAGACAATCAGCGACCTCAGTGCAGTTTCTGCGCATGACGTCGTACGCATGTACCGGGGAGGTGAGACTGCCTATGGTGGGGGCTTTATGGTCAACACGGCCACTGGGAGCGGCTGCGTGCCGTTGCCGTGGAAGTGTGTTGTCATCACAGAAAAGATGGCGTCTGTGTGCGCCAAACTCATGTCATATTCAGTGTCACTTCAGTGGTACCATTTGCAGTAACTGTGACCATAATTGTGTTTGCTGCCTTTGGCCACTAGAGGGACACAACGTATCTCTGTGCAGACCATGGGCCAATTGCAATGAACATCTTGAACCGAGACTGCGGCAGTTAGTAGAGTCATAGCTCGCTTTTACCCGTTTGCAATGAAAGACACTGTTTGTTGAGACTGAAAGGGTTCATATGGTGATGTCTGTCAGTACCAATCACCTTAAACAACAAGGCTGTGATTTAAAAACAGATTTACCGTTAAAAGAAAACAATAAAACTAAAATTAATGGCAAAAATGGGTTACTTGTTCTGGACTTAAGTAAACCTATTGCAACTTTAAGATAATATTGTGTTTAATTACTTTGGTGACATTACTTAAATACTGTTTAAAGACATTAGGAAAAGCATTGACACACAATGACCAGCTGGCTGGGGCCCCTGGCTTTGCTTCGTAAGTCTCTCGGAGCCTGCGATGTGCAGTTAACGGCACCTGCAAACAGCTAATTACACTCCGCAAATTCACAGAATTCAGTCTTTGAACCAGGCACTGAAACTGTAACTGGAGGGCTTGTTTCAAAGGGCTTTATCGTCATTGATTGTACATTTTTCAAAGGGAATCAAACCTCAAGAATAAACCCAAAACAGAGATGTTGGCAGGTTAAGCAACAATACCTACATCCATCCATCCCTCCATCCATCCCTCCATCCATCTATCCATCATCCACCTGATTATCCTGGACAGGGTCACCGGGGAGCCCGGAGTCTCACCCAGACACCATTAGGTACAGGGCAAGAGGACACGCTGTATGCGAAACCTGTTCATTGTAGGCAAATAGACAATCAGACACTGAGCAGTTTAGAGACACTAATTATGCTGAATTCATGCCTTTTGACTAAACTGGGCTCCCTGAAAGGACACCTATGTGACACAGGGAGGCCTAGTCGCGCTTGTGAGTCCTAAATGCTCTTTATGTACGTATTTAGTGCACCTGCTGATGGACTGTCGCCCCATTCACACACCCTGCCTGCACTTCTCAGGACTGGTTCTGGATCTGGATGAAAAGCGAATCAGAAGCCTATATCTGTTTATTAGTAAACAGACAAAAATACCTGAAAATGTGAGACTGTGTCTATCTTAAAGGTGTTTTTACGGAGGTATAGAAAAATACTTCTCTGGGGTGACATCACTTCCTGTCTGGGCTTTAGATACATTTTCTGTTCCAGGGCTGCGCTGGTGTTCCTTGCCATTGGTCCTTTAAGCTAAACGTCTGTGGTTTCCTTGGTTTCTGTTCAGTGTCACGCCTCCGCACAGGTCAAATAAGTGCTGTTGATAATTAAGGTCTACAGAAGGTAAACTATGATATGGTTAATTAAGGACTTGAATATGTAAATTGTTTTTTTATGTGTATAGAATGAAACCCCCTATTCTCAGAGGGCCTGTGCCTTATTTAACATAAATACCTAATTTAATAAATGGAAAATTAAATGTGTCAAATCCAAGGCCTAACATTCCCCAAATAAAATGGTTTCATCTTGCTAGAGTCTACTGTGTTGTTTTTGAATGAATGTTACCACCACTGTGTAGCCCCCACCTGGATGATGCAAGGGCAGCCATTCTGCACCAATATACTCACCACACAGTAGCTAAGGTGGTGAAGGGGCAGGAGAGAATTCACCAGTTAGATGTAGAGGATGTTTAAGAGGCCAGATGTAATAAGGGCACAGTAGGCAATTTTAACCAGGACTACAGGGTCCCACCCCTACTGTTTCAAAGGATACCCAGGAATCTTGTATGACCTCAGACAGTCAGAACCTCAGTTTTACATCTCATACATAGGACAGCACCATTTTTACAGCAGTGTCCCCGTCACTGCACTGGGGCATTGGAATCCTCACAGACCACAGAAGGGGCTAACCTGCTGACCACAACAACACCTCTCCCAGCAACAACCCAGCTTTCCTGGTTGGTCTCCCATCCAAGTGCTGGGTAGGCCCAAAGCTGCTTAGCTTCAGGTGGACAACCTAGTCTGAACTGCAGGTAGTATGGCTGCTGGCAGGCATAGGAAATGGGGTAAAAACAACACAAAGGGGCCAGACTGTCTAGGAGCACCTGCTGGAGTGTTTGGGACCTTCTGAATCCCCCCCCCCCCACTGTATCAAATGACACTTTCATCTGGTAGTCTGGCAGATATGTATCTAGCATCAGAGCAATGCTGAACTTTATAACATGCCGCAGATAGAGCAGCCAGAGCAAAAAAGCACTGCACTAAAAGCAAGTACACAATGGATTCCGAAGAAATTGCCTTTTACAATATTTATTGGATGAACTCGTATATAAAGACTGAGACTCAATTTCCTAAAACCAGTGAGCAACAGATACAAATGACCAGGAACCAGGTACGGACATGACTACCTGATGGATTTCCAAACAAAAAGCAGTATTATCGATAGACAACAGGTGCTTCCCGATACAAGCCAGGGTACGATAAGAGGGATTAATGGTCTGACTGCGGACTCAAAAAAGGGAGTCAAATAAAGCAAGGAGGCAGCCTGTGTTCAGAATTGCTTATAAATATAATTTATTACTCGCTTAAAAATTCTTTCTTACACTTTGTACAGAAACTGGACAGGAATAGCCGCAAGCATTTGGAAAGTTCAGTTCCAGAGTCATGAAGCGTGCTGAGAAAACGTGTGTGGACCACATCCTCACAATACGAATAATATCAATCATCAGAAAAGTTAAAAAAAAAAAAAAACAAACAAAAGAGCCTCCATTGCAGGAGTGTTTCTTTAGTACACGTATAAAGGTCGCCCAAGTTTGCATAGTGGACACAGCTTTAGAAAATGACAGCATTTAATACAAACAAAACAAAGTACAAAGGAAAAGCCAGAAAGTAAAAAGTACTATCTATGCGTTCTGCTGTTAGATTTTACCGCAAAAGAACGTCGAAATGCGTCTGAAGCCAGACTTCTGTACATAATTAGGCATTTACATACATTTCATTATCTAAACATATTTCGATATTTTTTTCTTTCCCTTTGCAGTATTTTGTTCCATCTCGCTGAGGTTTGCATGCATTCTTTTCACAAGAATAAAATAAAATGCTGATTCTCTGGACAAAAAGCGTACTGGACGGAATATAAAACAAAATCGACAAAGAAAACTCCAGACCCCCGTGTGACACTTGACTATTCAGACTGCAGCATGGAACCTCTGAAATTTATAGCGTGAACTTATGCTCGTTTTTTGCTTTTTTTTTGTTTGTTTGTTGTTTTTGTTTCCAGTAGACAATATCAAACCAAGGAACAGCATTTTGACTTCAGAGGGTGTGCCTGCAGGGGTGGGTATATTGGCATGCACATAGCGCTCCCCCTAGTGGCAGTGATTCACAACACAACGAAAGAGCACACAGCAAGAAGGAATCATCATATCATATCATAGGTCAAATTTGCCTACTTGGTGACATTTTGCTAGTTTAGCGATTTCTCCACTACAATTAGTACTCATCAGCATTACAGCACATTTAAAGTGATATTACCAAAGTTTTTGCCAGAAAAAAAGTATTCTCATTTTGCCATTGCACATTAGGATAACTCAAACTCGTCCTACTCCAGTTGAAATAATGCTAACACCTCTTGTTAGAGGCTTACAAACTGCAAATGTAATGGGAACACACATTTAAAGGCATTTATTTAACATGTAAGAGTTTAAGCCCCAGTTAAGCAAAATAGCTAATGAGCACATGCAGAACACAGCAGCGGTAATCCACTAGGAAACAAAATTGTCATTATTTAATAAACTGGGAGTATGGGTGTTACTGCCACGAAACAAACATGAAATTACCTCCAGCAGCGATGCCAAAAAGCCCCCATCTCCAAAGGGCTCATTCTGAAGTACTTCTGCATTCATTAAAGACCCCCCCCCCCAAACTAAAATACACATATTCCCAAAATAACATTTCCCCAGACTGCAAGTGTCGCTTTAAAAAACAAACAAAAAGCTACAAAATACTTACAGTATGCTTTCATTTAAAAAAAGAAAACAGTATACATCTTTAAAGTGAAATGTTGCTGGAGCGATCCTGATATTCTTGTATATTCTTGATAGAAACTGACCTCACGGTCCAACCCCATACTGACAGTTTCTGGTCTCTTTTAGATTACTCTTTCCTTTTTTTTTGGGGGGGGGGGGGGGTAAATCTGTATTTGCATATCTGCGGGCCATAGTCCCTTAGGGCAGTGGTTCTCAACTCCATCCTGAGGAAGCAGAACTTTATGGGAGGGGGGCGTGACAATTACATTAGAAGAGAAAAATAATGTTGGACCATGAATCTTTCCCCCAAGCGTTATTGACCCCCTCAAATGGCCCCCCGACCGTGGCCCCACAAACACACCGGTGCTGAAACGTACCATTGTGCTTCCACTAAGGAGGGACCTAACAAAACCACAATATATTTGCATTTATTTTTTAATTAAGTTTTATTTTAGCTGAGAATTATGTCTTAAATGAGAGAAGATATAAAATAAGACGCTATAATACCAATGGCAATGGTTATTAATAAACGTTATTAAAAGTTTTACAGATATTACAATGCTCTATGTAGATGTATATATACATATATTTTTGTAATTATTTCTGCACTGGTTAAAATAATGACTTGCTTCCGTAGATGTAACTGATCTGTATATCCTCCACATGGCACCAAAAAAGTCTAAATTAAATCCATAAAACAGAAAAAGTCACACTAGCGTAATAATTTGCATTAAACGTATATATATATATATTTTATTTTTTCCAGATCCGATTGTATGAAGACAGTGATGGTCTGAATATTAGGTGTGCCTCTTTGAAGGCAGGCCCACCTCCTGCCTCATGTTATATACAGCGTATGTTTCATTCAGACCATCCGCATCCATATATTTATCAAAGTGTTGGATATTAAATGTTTACTGTGACAGAAACGTGAGACGTAACAGATTTTATGTCACAGGAAGGTGGAAATGTTGTATTTGGTTCTCCATCATGGGCCTGCACCTTCGGGGGCAGGAATGGGGGTGTGTGTATGTGTGTGTGTGTGTGTGTGGGGGGGGGGGTCACAGGTATCTCTGCCTCCACCCCCCTGTCCCCGCACCACCCAATCACCTGCCAGGACTCGGAGATTATCCACATACATATGGACAGCAGGATAAAGCGTTTCCTAGGAAACTTTATAAATTAATATTCAAACTGTACTGAAGAACGTACAGCCAAGGCTAACAAGAGGGATCCTCCTTTTTTTAAATTACTGCGGTCTCTTTTTTGTAAGTACAAATTAAAGAAGATTCCCCAAACCCATCAGTAAAATGGCATTAGTGTTCTCTGAGTCTGTATCAGGTTTTCCGGCACGCTGGTGTCAGTGCTCGCTGGCCGCTGACATGATGTTGTCGTGGCGACCCATCTCCTCCAGTACGGCGGCTAGCCGGTTCAGGTTGCCGTCGGGAAAATGCTGGGCCTCCCACAGGTCCAGGATCACTCCGGTCGGGCTGGACGTGGTGGCAAAGTAGTTCAGATACCTGGGACGAGAGACGGATTAGGCGAGACAGCCGCTGGGTGTGTCACATGTGTATCGTCACACACGGCACTGTGCCGAGGGCTCAGGCTGCCTAAGAACATCATGCTTCAATGATCTTCATGCTGCTGTAAATCTATTATATTGTGCCTGACAAAGCGTACTATCGAGCTATTTGACTCCAGAATTTGCACTTATCATGCAATACACCTGTGTACTTGTTGACTTGACCACTAGCATACCATGTTTGATTAATCAATACTTCATCAAGTTATTTAGCTAATTAAGTTAATTAATTAAGCTGGCAGCAAAATTTACCTACTAAACCAAATCAGTGTTCTTCACATCGTTCAACAAGACATAACTTATACAAGATGTAACTTTCTGGAGAATAGAAGAAATGTTTTATTGTGTTGCTGGTTAGGGGTATATCTTCCAGTGTTAAATTGAGTTTTTTATTCTGGGTAAATATGCATATATATATACATAGAGAGATGGACTAAAAATGTTGTACAGTGCATCCAGAATATCACGCTCTTAGTGAAAGACCATGAGGCTAGATGGTCTTGATGCTACTGCTTTGTCACTGGGCACGTGTGTAAAGTGCTGTACCCTCTAATGGCTGGATGCCCTGAGCCCCATTTCTCCCTGCCCCCGTGGCCGTCCCGCTGCGGCGCCCCCACCTGTCCAGGTTGAGTTTGTGTGCCAGCATCCTCCAGTCGTTGCCCCTGGTTTGGGGGGCATCCAGGCTGCCGCACAGCTTCTGGCGGATAGATAACGGAATGCGGAAGGCGCTGGGGCCGACCAGCGTGGTGATGTTGCTGGCAGGGTCCATCAGTGATGTGTCGATGTTCTGGGCATCCTGTAGGGGGCGAAAGAGAAAACACACACGGTTAATATGGCGACCTGTTTGGGATCAGCAGCTCTTTACTGATATATGTGGAGATGGTACAGCTTTGAGCAGCAGCTCGTAGGTCTGACAAGACCCAGCAGAACAGATGTAATACAGGCCCTTCCCAGAACTACAGTCATCTTGCAGAGGATGAGGCAGAGCACTTGGGTTAGGAAATAGCCTGTTTCCCATTTCGGCCCCATAGAGGGAAGCTGGAAACGCTGCCGCTGAATCCTATAGCAAAGCCTCTTAGCTGGAATTGCTCCTGAAAAAGCTTCTGGTTAAAACTGTTATGCCGCACAAGTTGCTTGCGAGACGCGC